TGCATTTGAATGGATAACAAAGTGATGCAAAAAGTCTAAAAAAACTGGTGCTTAAATCCAGTAGTATCACACCCGTGCGTTGCACGGTTCATATTTAAATTATTAAATTATATTAACATTATTTTTGAATGTTACAAATTAGTATAAAATGGAATATAGAGATTTCATTTTTTAATTTACAAAATTTAAATGATTTACAATATCTTAAAGACTAATTTATAATTCACATTACTCGTATAAATTTGTGAAAATAATGTCTTCATTGCATATTAAAATCTTCAAGTAATTATGATTTATTACTCTTAAACTACAACATACATTTCTCCATGACTAAAATATAAATAACATTAATCAAAACTCTGGTTAAAAAATTTGTTCAGAGTTAATTGTGTTGTTTTTTTTCATTTTGTCAAATTACTAATAAAGTGGAGATCTATATACTCCATAAAAACAAAGGAGCATTTATAAAAAGAAACTAAAAATCTTTGCAGTGATTCGTTTTTACGGAAAACAATACCCGTAGTGTCTCTGTTTTATGTCTTTTTGTTGGCATTTTACTCGTTTTTTTATTAACAATGAAAACAGTATTTTTTCATTGAGTAAAATAAACAATTATCTTACACTCGTTAGACCTTTAAATATTTGTGTAACCGAGGCTCGTTCTAAAATATAAAAAAACACTCGTTAGACAATTAAATGTTTGTGTCCAATTTTTTAATGCTAGGTTTCACCATTTGCAGCACCAGAATCTGAGGCGGTGATACTACTTTGTTGAGACCATCGATCACCAGATAAACACTCACAATGTACAATTTAGCCAATTTCCCCTAAATATTAAAAAATAAAAATAAAACATTCGTGATTCTCAAACTAGAATCATTCATACACCATATAGGTCGTTTTACATATTTAGTCCCTACATATCAAATATTACTAATTAAGTCCCCAATTATTATACTACCTCCGTCCCAAAAAGATTTACACGTTTTGACTAAAGTTGAAATTAAGGGAGGGATAATTTTGTGTTGACTTTCCAAAAATATCCTTGATGTAATGGGTAAAAGTAGGGTGTGATGTGAGATTATTAGGAAAAAGGTATGATGTGATAGGTAGGGTTTGAAAAAGTAAGGGGTAAAAGTGGTTTTTTAATAGAAATGGGTAGGAGATTGTGGGACGCAATTTTTTTGAAAGGTGTAAATCTTTTTGCGACGGAGGGAGTATCATTTTTCACGAATGGTCCTTTGTTAACGTTTTTGTTAAGAACATGAATAAAATTGTATATTCATACTTCTCTATCCTCAATTAAGATTTCTCCCTCCTCTCCTAGTCTTTCTCAAACTCGTCGGTGAGTTTGAAGCTCTAAACCCAAAACTGAAATGACCATTCCTCTCTCAATGTTTAGTTTCCTGGTGGAACCTAAAATCAAAACCAATAAACTTTATGGATGAGTTTTATCGGTTAGGGGAAAGGAGTGCGAGGGGAGGAAGGAAGCTTAATTAATTTAGGAGAGAAATGAGTGTGAACTTACAATTTTATCCACGTTCTTAACGGAAATGTTAACAAAGGACCATTCGTGGAAATTAATATAATAATTGGGGACTAAATTAGTAATATTTGATATGTAGGGACTAAATATGTAAAATGACCTATAACGGGGGACCTTTTATGGAATTTACTCTTTTTGATTCTATTTAAATACATTGTAATTTGTAAAGAGACTTTTATTCGGGTTGTTATTTTTTTCATTTAATGATAAAAGTGAACTTTTATAGAGAACTTTCATTTTTTGTCATTTTATTCATTTATTTTCATATTATCAAAAATAGTTAATGTTTTGGAAATTTTATTCCAAGTATATTTCATTACCCGTGGAATAAAATAAAAAATTCAAGTGTACGTTATTGTTTTTAAACTAAGATCAAAATGGTAATAAGTTTTAATTTTAAACTTGGAAAAAAATGGTAATAACTATTTTAAATAAAGTTTTAAATAAAATGGAAATTTTAAACTTAAAAATGGTAATAAGTTTTAAATAAATATGGAAACTTTTTTAATGCTCATTCGAAAACAGTAATTTTTTAATAAAAATAGAAATATATTCCCTTTTACCATACAATTATTAATTGATAGAATCCAAATTTACCATAGCAACACTTACCATTAACTGGCGTAACATTTAAATAATAACGGAAACATATTCACCTTTTCGAATTACGGTTTTCGATATTATTAAAAATAAAACATACTCCCTCCGTCTGGAAATGTTCTTTCCATTTGATTTTTCACGGTCTCAAATATTACACTTTGACCATTAACTAGTATCACACCCGTGCGTTGCACGGGTCATAGTTACAGTACTAACTTAAGATCATTTTTAGGAATATAAATTGTTCTATAATGGAATATAGGTATTTCATTATTTTAAAGTACAAAAGTAAAATGATTTACAAATTTCGAAAGGCTTCTTTATAAACTACATAACTCGTATGTATAATTTGTGTGAGCATTCACTTCGTTGTATATCAGAATCTTCAAGCCATTGCGATTTATTACTCTTTAAACTGCAACATACACTTTCTCNTATGGTATTTATTTTCTATTTTATTTTAGATCACTTACCATTTTTACACGTATCCATGCTTGTAAATTATAGTATTAATAGTATTTATTTTAGAATACTTATACCATTGTTACATGTTTCCATGCTTATAATATTAATAGTATTAATTTATAATTTTTTAATTTTTGCATTTAAATGGTACCATTTGCTTAATGTACCATATTTATTTTTTAATTTATTTTATAACAGTTACCATTTTTACACGTTACCATGCTTGTAAATTGTAGTATTAATTGATAGTATTATTTTGTAGTTTTCTATTTTATTTTTTTTATTTAAATGGTATCATTTATTTACCGTACCGTATTTATTTTCTAATATATTTTAGAATACTTATCGTTTTAATAATTATTTTATTTTCTAATTTATTTAGAACACTTACCTAAATTATTTTAGAACACTTACCATTTATTTTATTTTGTGTTTAAATGGTACCATTTGCTTATCGTGGTGACATACCATCCCGTATTTATTTTCTAATTTTCTAATTTGAACACTTACCTTTTAAAAAAATCACGTTTTTAAAGTATAGTATTAATATTAATTTTGCAGTTTTTTAATTTATTTTCGTATTTAAATCGTACTAATTACTTACCAAACCACATTGTTTTCTAATTTATTTTAGAACACTTATCATTTTTAGATGTACTCTCTCTGTCCATAAATAGATTACAATTTTTTTCTCCCCTCTCGATAACTTTTGTTTGTTTACGCAATTTCATTAAGTATTTGATAAAATAAAATATTCTTATCACTTCTTGTTTTGTAGAACTTTTGACGTAGTTGTTTAATATGTAATTTTTATATCTTATTGATATATCAATTTGTAAATAAAATGATTTCAAAAAGTAAGAAATTTGACTCCGTAACCCGGAATTTGTAATGAAATTAGGGACTGAGGGAGTATTTTATTTTCTCTTTTATATTAGAACACTGACCTAATTTATTTTAGAAAACTTACCATTTATTTTATTTTCGTTTTAAATGGTGCTAATTGCTTACTATACCATATCTATTTATTTTCTAATTTTCTAATAAGAACATTTGTCATTTTTAAAACGTTTCCATTCTTTTAAATTATAGTATTAATATTAATTTGTAGTTTTTTATTTTATTCTTTTATTCAAATGTTATCATCTACTTACCGTACCATATTTATTTTTTAATCTATTTTAGAAAACTTACCATTTTTATGCGTTTGTGCTTGTAAATTATAATATTTTTAATGATAAATAATTAATTTGTAGTTTGTTTGAAATAAATCATTTTAATCCTGCCCATACTATATTAATTTGTAATTTTTAAATTTTATTTTAATATTTAAATGCCAGTGTATTTTATTTCCATACTTCCCCAATGGTTCACTACTACTCCGTATTTAATTTAATTTAATTTAAATGCTTAAATGGTGTAACATTTAAATAAAAATAAAAATAAAAACATACTTAAAATGGAAGAAAAACATTAAGGTAAAATAATTAAACTACCATTTATGTTGTCAACACTTTCCATATATGAGTGTCATGCATGCATGGGCGGGAAAAAATTCATGTCTTTTTAAATAATGTATAGATATCTATATTTATACATAGATATATTTTATAAAAATTTGATATTTGAAAACTACTTTTCATTATGAATATATTGATATTAAATTTACATCATAATACAATTCGTTTTTTCCACAAATCATAGTCAAAGTTTATAAACTTTGACCAAGAAAAGTCAAATGTGAAGAACATTTCTGGAAGGAGGGAGTATTAATGTATTTAAATAAAAATAAAAACATTTTTAATGCTCATACAAAAACATACTTTTTTTAAATAAAAATTGAAACATATTCCCACTTATCACTTACCATTAATTGGTATAACATTTAAATAAAAATCGAAACATATTTCCTTTTCCACCTTACTATTTCGTTATTAAAAAACATATTGATATGTTTAAATAAAAATGAAAACATTTCTAATGCTCATATGAAATTCTACATTACAATTAGTTATCAAGTAATTACTACGTACTCGTATTAGTTAATACTTCTATGAAATTTCTCATTTTTATGCTCTTACATTTCCATATATAACTCTTACATATGAGCGGGAAAAAATTCACCTCTTTTTAAATATAGTATAGATATAGATTTTTTTAGTAGTGACTAACATACTTTATCCATTTTTATTAAGGATAAAATCGACATTTAATTTTTTTTTCAATTAGTTCCTCTTAAAATCCGTTAGAGAAGTCAATTGGAGATTATCATTTGATCTCCAAAGAAGAGTGCAATAAAAATATTCTGAATCAAAAAGAAAAGAGAAAAAATTATGAGGATGAAATTAAAAGGAGTATATATTTGGAATACGTACAACGTCACGGTATTATCATCATTGAACATTAATTAATACAATGGAGAAAGAGGTACTATAAGTGCAATTGTTACATCTCCTCCGCACACACAGATACATAAAGAGAGAGATTAATTATTACTATAAGAAAGCTCTATCATATCGATCGAATCCCAGTATAGTATATATCGTGCATGGGATCGGATGATCGAATAATTGGCTTTTACGGAGTATTATTTATTTATTTAAGGCTCCGCCGCCGCCGCCGCCTCCCCATGGCAGCAACTTCGGCAACACTGGTGGTAGCCGACGACGCAGCAACCGTATTTGCAGGGTCCGGCACAATCCGATTGCCCGACATGTCCTGTTGCTGTACCAAAGGATAATGATTTTTATACTTTGTACGGAGTACTCCCTCCCTTCCTTTAAGCACTTTCTATTTTGATTTTGGGCCAAAATAAGGAAAGTGTAATTTTAATTGACTTTCCAATTTTGCCCATGATGTGATGGATAAAAATAAGATGCGACAATTTGGTTATTAGTGAAAAAGTATGATGTGATAGGTAGGGTATGAAAAAGTAGTGATAAAAGTGGTTTTTTAATATAAAGTGAAAGTATTTTAAGGAATTGGAAAAAAACGAAACGGGAAGAGTTTTATGGAACGGATAGAGTATTACTTTTACTCAAAACTATACTCTCTCCTATCTCGCATTAGATTGACCAATTATATCTATTTTTATACATAATTTTATATTATAAAAATACACTATCTCCGTCCAAGTTGAAACTTCTCATTTTGACTTGGTGCGGTTTTTAATATTAAGTGAAAAAAGGGTTGACTTTCCCCTACTTCCATTACAAATTCTTCTTCTTCTTCAAATAAATTGAAAAAGAAATCTTGGAAAAGATGAGGAGAAGAAATAGTGAAGAAGCAATCAAGAAGTTTAAGTGTCAATTCTACAAAATCAATCAAAAATAAAAAAAATTAGATCTCTTCAACCTCAACTCCCCTACTTCCATTACAAATTCTTCTTCTTCTTCAAAGTAATTGAAAAAGAAATCTTGGAAAAGATCAGGAGAAGAAATAGTGAAGAAGCAAAAAGCCGACTCTACAGTTTTTTACTCATTGCCGTAGTCCCCGAGAGAAAGAGTAATATTTTTTAACTTTATTTCAAAATGTATATATTAATGTTAAGTTTATATCATAATTAAATATTTTTTTTCTACATTTTAGAATCAAAATTAGAAATCTTTGACCAATAAAATCAAATATGAAGATAATTTTGAGACAGAGGAGTATTAGTAACTCTCTCCATATTTGTGTATGAGTAGTTTTGATCTTTTTGCACATTTTAATAAATTTTGACATTTAATTGATCGAATAATACTCCGTATGTATATACGGGGTTCTATAACCACTGATTTTCAGTGGCTTCAGAAGCCACTGAACATATTGGGGCACTTACGCTGCTCCGTTCGCAAAATTGATAGTTTTTACCCCTTAACCCCATCAAACCTCCCACCTAGTCCAGCTAGACCCCAACCCACCTCTCCAACCACGTCAATTGCGGGGTGCAAGTTTAGTTGACTTTGTTCAGTGGCTTCCGAAGTCACTAAAAATCGGTGGCTATAGAACCAGGGCGATGTATATAATTGATACACACTACGTAATATGTAAAATTATTACTCCGTAATTTATTAATATGAGTATTATATATATATATATATATATATATATATATATATATATCTTAAGATGAAATCAATTATGATCAATTTTTATTATAATTCAATAAAATTTAGTCACAATTTATGGTCAAAGAGTATCATTGTTTAACTAAAAAAATCAAAACGAAAAATGTTTTTGGAACGGGATCGGAGGGAGTACTATAATACAGAACTATGTTCATGTACTTACTGTTAGAGGAAGCATGAACCATAGTCTCGACCAAATCCCGGCCCGAGACGTGGGAAGCAATCAAGAGAGAAAGAGCCAAAGAAAGGCGAAGAAGAAGGAACAACTTTGAACTCATCATTATATTATATTGTTTCCAAAAATTATTTTTGGTATGTGAAATAATATAATGTAAAGGGGGGCTGATGAATATATTGTGGGATGATGGAAAGTGATGAATTGCAGCGCCCATTTATAGGAGTACTTTGCAGGGTTGGAACTATTCAACTAAAACATACTCCGTATAAATAAACACTCCCTCCATTCCATAAAATCCTTCCCCTCTCAGTCTTTTTCAATTCCCTAAATACTTCTACTTTCTGTTAAAAAAGTAATTTTACCCCTACTTTTTCAAAACTAACCTATCACATCATACTTTTTCACTAATAACCAAACTATCATGTCTTACTTTTATCAATCACATCAAGGGCAAAATTGGAAAGACAAACAAAATTACACTTTTCTTATTTTTGTCCAAAGTCAAAATGGGAAAAGTTTAAAGGAACGGGGGGAGTAAAAGTTATCGAGAGGGAAAGAGAGAAAAAAATTATACTCCCTTCGTCCGATAAGAATGTTCGAGTTCATTATTTATATGGTCAAATTTTATTTATTTTATATATTGGAGTACTTGCATTTCCTATTTGATAAAATAATATAGTCATGTTACATCTAGTTTTGCAGATCTTTTGATGTAGCTATTAAATATGTAATTTTTATTTTTTAATTCTATACAATTTTTAGAATAAAATAATTTGAAAATAATTTCAGTTAAGCATCGTAAGGCGCAACGAAAATATCATTATTGACGAAAATCATTATTGGAACCGATCGAGTATTAGCCTGCACTCTGCAATGATAATTAGAGCCACTAAAAAAGAAGAATGATAAGCAATTAGGCACAAAGTTCATTCAATTGTAGGGGTCCATGGTTTCGCACTTTGGCTGATACTCCCTCCGTTTCTTAAAACCCATCCTCTATCATTTTTTTGTTTTTCTTAAAGCACTTCCCCTTTCTATTAAAAAACCACTTTTACCCTCACTTTTTCATATCCTAACTATCACATCATACTTTTTCACTAACAATTAAATTATCACATCTTACTTTTACCCATCACATCAAGGGCAAAATTAGAAAATCAACTACAATTTAACACTTCCTTATTTTCTCCCAAAGTCAAAAGAGAAACTCTTTTGAAAAAAGGGGTAGTAGTTGGGGTTCTTGAGTTAGATGGAATTGCCCCATACTCCGTACTACCCGTAGCATGATAGTACCGCTAAATAGTTGTAGACTTGCAGTCTCGGTAATTTGGTAACTAAGCAGTAAAATTTTTGTATTTTTAAATATATTTGTAAAATTAGAATAGTTTTATAACCAAATACTTTCTTTGTCCAAAACTGTTCCCATTTTACATTTTAGGAAATTTAAGAAAGTAATATTATTGAGTTGGCTTTTCAAAAACACTCTTAATATGATGAATAAAAGTAGGATGTAATGTATAGATTATTAGTAAAAAATTAAATAGCATGAGTACCTCTCCTGGTTTAGAAAATAGACACCAATACCCCCTTTTCAAAACTTATTTTTAAAGTCCTTGTGGTTATTTTATGCACACATAGCTCCTCTGATCGTTTTCCGGTTATTTTCTAGCAAAAAGGAGGCATTGATGCATATTTTCCGATCCAAATCATATGGGCACTGATATTCATTTCTTATTTTTTCGTTTGCTTTTTTTTCTCCCTTTTTTTCTTTATTGTTTCTTTTATTAATCCAATTTTTGTAAATTTCTTTTTAATTTTTTTATAATAATGTTCTTAAAATTTACCCTGTAACACTTATTTTTGTTTGAAAAAAATTAACATACGAGTATATTGCTTCTGTAAGTCTCAAATTAACAATTTTTAGTTTTTTTCAAAATAAAATAGTAAAAAATTTAAAAACTTCAAAAAATTAGGAATAAAATAAGAAATAAAACAAAAAATAAAAATGAACATCCTTTTTAGACATCCCAATTCTAAAGACTTTTTTGGTGTTCTCAAAATCTTATTTTGTATCAGACTTTCTTTTGCACGTTTCAATTTTCGTTTTTTCCATTTTTTTTCTTTTTTAATTCTGAATTTATTTTTGAACTTACCAAAAAACTATTATATAAAAAAATAAAAACTTTTAATTTGAGATAGATCGAGTATATCTAATTTATTTTTATTTCAAACACAAAGAATTTTAAATTTTTAAAATGTTACTCCTTCGTCCCTAAATATTTGTCACACTTATATTTCCGAGGTAAAATATCAGACTTTTTCAATTTATTTTATTTACATATTGGTATAGAAATAAAAAATAAAATTTACATATCAAAAAACTACATGAAAAGTTCTCCGTAATAAGATGTGTCAAAAATATTTTATTTTCTCAAATAACCAATGAAAACGTAGAAATAAACAAAAGTTCTCGCGACTATTGAAAAAGCAAACGTTGCAAATATTTTGGGACGGAGGGAGTATAAAAAATGAAAACAAATTTAAAAAAACATTTCTAGGTAAAGGAAACAAATAGATAAAAAAGAGTTTAAAATAAAACTAAATAACAAATAAAAAATAAGAAATGAGCACGAGTGCTTCCTATGATTTAGAAAATAAGTATCAATGCTCTCTCTTCGCCGGAAAATGACTAAAAAATGATCAGAGGAGGTGTGAGTGCAATGTTTGAAATTACGGGGACTTTAGAAATAAGTTTTGAAAACTAATTAAAGTTGAGATTATCCTATGATTCCTTCTATTTTGTTATTTATTCTATTATTCATTGAGTGATAAGTCTAATTATTTCATTATTCAATAATATTGGAGCCATCACCGCTTTTAGTGACCTAAAATTCTCTGCGTTCATTTTTGGCATCGCCATTAGCCACCAGGCCATTGTTCTTCCTCGGATCAATATTCCTCACCACTACGAGCAAATCCTCCCGTAATACCCTCCCCAAAATCAAACAAAAACATTAACTTTGCCTCTCTCATCCATGTCCAACCTGATATACCTAGGCTAGGCTAAATCAGATTCATACCAACCCACATCTTTTATTTTTCCTACTTAAATACTCCGTACATCATAATGAATAAAACAAGACATCTCCCTCATTAGTCATTAGTCATTAGTCATAAGGTGGGCCGAACTCAAGAATAAAAGAGAGACAAAATGAAGTCTAAAAATCTAGGGTAGAAAATAATGGTCAAAAGTTACTTTTGCTTTTCCCTAATTTTCAATTTTCACTGAAGTAATATTTGTACTTTTCCCTAGTTTTCCATTGTAATTATTAGAGTATAATAATGCAGATTGAAAATTTTGAATATGTATTTCCTAGTGACTGGGAACTTCGCATACTATACATACAATTTTATTATTACGGAGTATTATTATTATTCATTAAACACGTATGTGCTCCATACGAAAGTTCGGTAAGGTACCAGCACAATTTATTAATCAACCATGCTATAATTAGATCAAGAAGTATACTTCAAAGTTATACCAAAAATATATACTAACATTTTGATTGTTCAAACTATCATAAAATGTTAGTGCAGTAAGAAATTTTTATACTAACTGTTAGAATATAATAACTAACTATTCTCGGGCCACAACCACAAGCTTGAGCTTCTGGTTGAGTTGGTTCCTTGACATGGTATCGGAGCCTCGTTGACTAAGAGGTCACGGGTTCGAAACTTAGCGCCACCCAGTTTAAAAAAATTAAGGTTTCACGTGCAAGGCTCGAAAAAGACTACGCCTGCACGCAGTGGCGGAGCCAGGGGCGGACCTTTGAGGGGGCACAATAGTATACTGTGGGGTTGGAGGATAGCGTCATATTTTTTTAAATGAAATAACAAAGAAATGTTATTCGAATTATGCCAAAAAAATAAATAAAAATGATAGTTCACAAAACAAAGTAAGATTTAAAAAATTTTCAATTCATTTTATTTAAAGATTGATATATAAATAAAAATCTAACTTACATATTCAAAAACTATGGAGTACGTCAAATCTTTTACAAAATGAGTGGTTACAAAAATATTTTATTTTATCAAACAATCAATAAAAACACACAAATAAACAAAACTTTCCGTGATTTCAGAATAGTAAAAAAGGAATATAATTCTGGGACAGATAGAATATTATTTAATTTATTATTGCATACGCTAATTTAAATTTTTTTGAAGTCTTGATTTTAAAAAATTAATCCCTAAATTCAATTTAACACATAACAAATTAGTTTTATAGTAATAAGCAACCAGTATCATAATTTGATACTTAAATACCTTGTAGTAAAAAGCATCCCATAATCATCACCAAATACGGATTAGCAAACAAAGCTTTGAAAAACAACTAAAAATTAGTCAACAAATATTTAGCATGAGTTACTCCGTCGGTGAGGGGCTGAATTCCTGAAATTAAAGTATTTCGTATTTTTTTTGGGCAATTGGGCTTCTGGAGTGTTGGGATGGATCAAAGGCTCAAAGCCCAAAAGACTTTTTTTAAACATTTAAGAAAACGACGTCGTGCGTTTTCTTCTTCTTCAGCGATTTCTCCGCCTCCTTCTTCTTCGACCTGCTGCCGCAGACCACAGTGTCGCCTGCCGGACCAATCTGGGGGGGGCAAATCCGGCCTCCCTTCGCCGATGGGTACCTCTATTCTATTTTGCCGGAATTTCTTTGGGGGCACTTGCTCAGGCATGCCCCCCTCCCTCCGCCCCTGCCTACACGTGAGGGGGCGTGTTAGAATATAACTAATTATTCCTGGGCCACAACCACAAGTTTGAGTTTCTGGTTGAGTTGGTTCCTTGACACTAACATTTAGTGCTTCTGTGAACCATCACCCTGACACAATTAAAAAGTATGTGCACACTTGCAATTTATAAATTTGGGTACAAATTTTGGAGTACAAATAGCTTAATCCTTATCAATTTGGTAGGGAGTATGTTTTATGTACGAAAATTACACAATATTATTGAATTTTTAATATACTCGGACACTCCATAATATATTTACATATACAAGGTATACCTTTTTATTTTTATACTAATTTGTAAATAAAATAATTTTAACAGAACTTCTCGTCTAGCTTGATGAATGAAAATTCCACTCCTCAGAATTCATGGAGAAGTTCACCTAAGTTTTACCTTTTAGACCGCTAGGTGTGCTTCACCTCTTCCCTTTCTTCTTACTCGGCGCCACATCAACTTTTACTTTCCTTTCCCCTTCAATTTGTAATATTATTTGTAACACTATTTAAAATTAAATAATTAAACTAAAAACATAAAGATAATAAAATAATTCAACATTTTATTAAACTTGTAATAATTGAACATTTCATTAAAATTTAAATAAGAAATATAATAATTGTGCGTCTAAGAAAATATAATCATAACACCCTGACTCGCGTAACCCGAATATATGGACTAGCGAATAGGATTCTCATTAGATTGGTATCCGAGCACATTGTTAAATATATATATAATATATTTAATATTATTGTATTATTATTGTTACCATGTTTGTATAGGTTTCCTATTTGTATAGGTTTCCTAGATGGTCTCTCCTACCATAATTAGGATTGAGACTTTTGTATATATACATGTACTCTCCTCACAAATTATTCAATGAAAATAATCCTTCTTCATGGTATCAGAGCCTAACCAAAAACCCTAATCTCTCCTCTCACCTTTCGGCCTCCTTCCTCCTCCGCCGAATCACCGGCGCCGCCGCCCTCCCTCTCCTTCTCTCTCGGCCGGCCATCTCCTCCTTCCTATCATGGCTAAAAGTGAGATCACCTCTCAGTCTACCTCCCAAAAACCTCCTCATCTGGCTTTCTCTGTCTCCAACGTCAAATTACATGTCCCTATTCAATTGAGCTTTTCTCAACCAAACTACAAAAAGTGGAGCCGACTGTTTCTTCTTCTCACAAGTCGGTTCAACCTCCACGGTTATCTTGATGGCTCTATCGCTCCCATCTCCGACGACGACGATGAATGGTTTCAACTTGACGCCATTCTCCAGGGTTGGATTCTCTCCACTATCACGGATGAAGTCTCTGATCTGGTTATCTCCTCCGTCTCTACTGCCTCTGCTCTCTGGGAGATGATTCATGATCTATTTCACGACAACAAACATGCTCGCGCCATGCAACTCGAGCACCAATTCCGCACCACGGTCAAGGGATCTACCCCCATGGCCACTTATTGTCAAGAACTCCGAAATATTGCGGATTGGTTGGACGACGTCGACGCTCCCGTCTCGGAGCACCAATTGATTCTTCAGATGCTACGCGGCCTCCCCGATGATCTCCAGGCTCAGACCTCGTTCCTCCAATTTCAGGATCCTATGTCGAGCTTTCTTCAGGTCCGATCGGCCCTTCTCCTTCTTGATCGGCAAAGGACCCCACTGGGCAGCACCAGCAGCACGGCGCTGCTGGCAGGGCACGGCGGCAGCGGCTACACCGGCGGACAGCACAGCGGCAACGGCGGGCGCGGCTCCGGCAGTGATTTCGGCAGTGGGGGACACTTTTTTGGCAGCAACTCTGGTGATGGTTCCTCCTCCGGGCAGCGTGGTGGCTTTGGACGCGGACAAGGGCACGGCAACGGCAACCGGGGTCGTGGTCGAGGGCGCTCAAACGGCGGATCGAGACAGCGACCACAACCGGACGGGCACACTACCTGGAACTCACCGTACCCAAACCCTAGCCCCGGGGTGCTGGGTCCT